AATCAAGTTTAGCGAACCTCCCAGTTAGCACATTGGCCTCGCTATTTGCTCTACAGCAGCAGCAGCAGCAGCAACAACAAGAACAACAGCATCAGCAGCATCAACTACCACTTCAAAGTCATCTTAATCAGGTTAATGCGATTAACTTACATAAATTATGCAACCAGTGCACTTGACGAAACAAATACGAAAGGAATGAATGTGCTCTTGGCTAGCAGAAGGCGGAACTTATGTCCAATACTAAATGGACAATAGTGCACAGTTTCATTTTATTGTAACAAGGTTTTAATGTAAAAAGTAGTATTGCAGAAGTGAAGATTGGGTATATACGTCATGACTTTGGATGCTAAAAAAAGAATTTGACGTAGTAATATTTGCCGTTGCACACATCGAATACAGCTTGGGGTGCTCATAGGACCGAGGCGAATTCTAAACCGCCGTCACCCTGGTTAAGAGAGCTTTTATGAAGGAAGGCTAGACAAAATTCAATGGCATCCTGGGGCCTACTTATCTCACTGTGGGAAAACTAAATCACCTTAAGCAACCTAGAGTGACTAAGCCCATGATCACACTCCCCGCTTATTTCCTCTCTTTATTGTGCCCGAATTGCTTACCCGACTTGGAAATTTCGATCTTAAATCTACGTCATCATTCGCGAACTCGAAGTTCCGTCTATTATTGCCTTAGTTTTCCGATTTCACTGTCACTGCAATCATATTAGTCAAGGCGTTATGTCTTATGGTCGGCCTCATGCGTTTGATAGCACATATACTGTAACTTTGTCTAAGGGGCATCTAGGGCTTGGATTTTCAAGCTAGATGATAGACTTTCCTATGACTATTTCCCTTTATCTCAGTTTGGCAAGTGCACTGGGTCAGTAAATCAATAGATGTGGAAAATGGAAACGTGTGCTTAGGCTTTACTTAATTCGTTCAAAGGAGCATTTCCCCCAGAGTAGGTCAGACTAAGGTTAGAAGTGAGATAGATTAGACTACTAAGAGAGGAGAGGCACGTAAACTGCTTAGCTTAAAGTTGGTCAACGTATGGACTTCACTAGTCGCTTTGGTGAGTTGAGTAGTGGTAACCACGGCACGGCTTACTGGTAATGCCGGAGAAGCTTTGGGGCTATTCAAAGTCCATGGCCAGAAGATGGAAATTATAATGAATAATATGGCAAATGACTTTGGACAGGTTACGATCATCGAGATCCCAATGAAAGGCGACCAAGTTATAAAAATAAGGTCAAACCACTTCTATATAGTAAAAGGGGACTGCGACCATACCTTCGACTAACCAGTAAAAATCATTGGCGCTTATATCCTAAGATGTGTGAGGAAAGAAAATGCAATAAGACTACAGCAGAAAATAAGAAGTAGTTGATTGTCAGTACTGAAGCTGGAGCAGTGGAGTTCCGGGAGTAAGCAGTGCAAACTTTTCATTTTATATTCTTTTTCCTCTATGAATAAATTTCTAATTGATTATTAGTTGTGAGACGGCCATGGAGAATGCCCTGTAATTAGGAGATAGCAATCAAGCATTTCTGGGAATTCAAAAGTCAAGGCTGGATTATAGACTATGGGATTGGCCCAACATAAAAGATCTGACAGTAGGGCAAGTTGTGTTGCTCCATAAAGGGATTTCGTACTAGAGCTTTCAATCTAGGACTTACAGTCACTAGGGGCACGACCGCAATCATACTTTAAGGCTGGAAAGCCAAGACGAAGATGTGGCGCTCTTAACTGTTAGTAAAGTGTACACCAATTGATGATAGGATCTAGCTAAAATTCGATGCACTGACCTTGACTTTACAGTCATCGAGCGAGGAGAGAATGTGGCTGGTGTGACTACGATAGTCTGTCGAACAGAAGCGTCTGGGGCTCGATGACGTCCAAAAACTAGGTCTAGGTTAAGAGTAAGGTTAAAAGTTGGTGCCTTTCAGATAATGGATTGACAGCTTCAAAGACTAGCTATTAGAACGTGCGAGGTTGCGTCTCTCTTGATGCTCCGTTGGGCTCGTGCCTGCTGGCCGTTAATTCCTGGGACTTAGCAGTTTGAATGCCTCAGCTCCGTTAAAAAGTGATTGCAAAGAATTTTACTGACCTACAAAGAGCCTAAGATTTTGCTGAC